GCCCATAGGGTATTTCAAACGGATTCACTAAACACTATTAATCCTAGGTAAAACTTAGGAAGTTACTTAATTCCTAGGTCGTTAGTGGTAGTTAGGTGCCTTTCCTCCTAAAAGGACACAGCGTTACAAAACCTCTAGAGAGAGGAGGCCAGAGGTCGATTTGAGCTGTAGCGCCGTTTGTTACAAACTTCGGCCATCTAAATAATCCGCAAAAACCGACTGGACCTGGAGAGGCTTTTTGTGTTGTGACACTGCTTTAGCAAGATTCGCATTTCTCGCCAAACGCTGAATAGCTGTTATGTAATTTCGAGACTAGGTGGCACGAAATCTTAAAAATTAAATTTGTGGGGTGTTGCTTGAATTGTCAACATTGACTGTTTATAAGCTGTTTATATTAACATCAAAGATCCTTCTGAATACCGCATATTAGAGGGCTACCTCGATCGCAATAGTAACGCTCCACAGATGAAGAAAGGTCTTTGGTAGCTTAAAGCCACAAATAATCCGGGAAAGTCTACAGATTAATGGAACGGGTAGAGATATGATAGAAGTAGTCAGGAGCCTCTACGCTAATACTGTTAAGTAGATAAGAACGAACAACCACAATTCTGAGGAGTTAGAAACTAAAAAAGCAGTAAGACAAGGAGAAGTGACTCAGCACTCGCTGCTATTTGTTGTCACAATGGATGTAATTATAGCGTGGGGTGTTATCGAATGCAACCGATGTGGTTTGAACTATGTGTTTTTGCTGATGATGTGGGACTGTGTGCTTAGGGAAACCTACAATATTACTTGGAATGTTGGAATACTGAACCTACAAAATGCGAATTACCTAAAAAAAAAATGTGATAACTCTGCAGGTAGAAGGACCTATTATAGAGCAGGCGGACAAATACAAATATCTAAGGTTCGTAATAAGCTTAAAGGCACCCTGGATGACGAACTGAGCAGTGGAATAAGGGCAACGCGTAAAGTATTCCAATCCTACAGAAGATCCTTTATAATTACTTTAAAATTACCAGAAATACAAAAATGGTGGTTTGCAGAACAATATATATTGTTCTAACTTGATTCATGGCTGTGAAAACTGGATTATGACAAAAAGACAGAAGATCCGAACATAAAGGATGGAAAAGTAATATTCGAAGTAGTCCTTGGGGTGGCCAGAACTGATAGATTAAACACGAAGCCCATTTAAAAAATAGTGGAGGATATTAACCTGTGATGGTATGGGCATATGATAAGGATGAAGGACAATATACATGTAAAAGGATGTTGCAAGCCACGACGGAAAGTAGAAATAAGAGATGAAGACACCGAGTCAAGTGGAACGATATCGTGAGAGATCATGGCAACTGATAGCAAATTCTAAACTAAGTCAATGATGTTGGTAGCTAATACAGAGTTGAATAGAGAACTCCAGGGGACAACCTTAATATTTATGGGCATAAAAAGAATTGATTATGATGATGATGATGATGTTTAATACTCAGTCAGATGTCTAGTTCCGATTTGTACTTATTTTTGTAATGTTTCATGACATCATCAGAGTATATTCAAGTACGGATTTACTTCAGCTGCGTTCTAGCAAAAACTATAGTAAATGTAGTTTAGCCAAAACCTGGCATGATTTGCAGTTTTCATAAAAATAGGGAAAAATCGAAAAATCATAAACTGAGAGAGTCTGATAGGCACAGTTGAGTTGCTTACTAGAGTGATGAAACATATTTCCATCATTTGGGTTGTGCTTACAAGCACAATCTGTGGTATCGGAATGAAAGCAACCCAACAAATAGCCAGCAGAATCATCTAGAGATAATACAAGAGTATAGTTTCGAGAATGTCTGATTTCAATAGGACGTAGTGACACCATATAGCTTGAGCAACAAAGTAAGTTTTGGTGGAAATTCAAAATGTCAGTGAATGTTAACATTTTTATGATGTTAAAGGTTACGAATGAGCAACGTTTGTATAATATTAAAAATTGTTGCCACAATTCTGAGTCGGTGGTTGTAAGTTTAAGAACGCTGATCCAGGACCGCCTTTACTGTTAGATGTTGTTGTACCAATAAGGCAATGCATTGGGTACAAAAAATACTCGATATAAAGTTCAGAATAAGCCAAATTAGTCGATTTCACGTAATTCGGGGGAATTGGGAATTCAAACCACATTTTTCTTGGCTTACACCCACGAAATCAAATTAAAATTGATCAATCATTTAATGCGCTAAAGTTTTTTAGATTGGGCTAAAGATTGAAAAAGAATCCTGGATTTCATCGAAAGCTCATTTTTGGTTTAATTACTTTGTTATCGAACATAATATACGTGATTGGACAGTCACAAGCCCATGTGTGCTTTAAAAGACTCCATTATAACCACAAAACGTGACCGTGTGGTGTAGATTTCAGCCGGAAGTGTGATTGCAATGTTACGACCAATTGAGTTCGCTATTGTGCCATGTTGGAAGATTTTGGCCAGAATTGGATAGACCTGACATCAGCGATATGTGCTTCCAATATCATGCCTAACGGCTTAGCAAATAATTAATCTATTGCAGAAGAAGTTCGGTAATTTCGAGAGTTAGTCCACCTCGTTTATGTGATTTAACGCCATTAGATTTCATTTTGTGGATGACGTTAAGTCTTTGGTTTCGCAGGAATTGGAACCTCAAACCACATTTTTCTTGGCTTACACCCACGAAATCAAATTAACATTGATCAGTTAATGCGCCAAAGTTTGTTAGATTTAGCTAAAGATTGAAAAAAAATCCTGAATTTCATCGAAAGCTCATTTTTGGTTTAATGACTTTGTCAGCAAGTATAATATACGTGATTGGACAGTCACAAGCCCATATATGCTTTAAGAGACTCCATTATAACCACAAAACATGACCGGGTGGTGTATATTTCCGCCGGAAATGGAGTTCGCTATTGTGCCATATTGGAAGATTTTAGCCAGAATTGGAGAGACTTGACATCAGCGATATGTGCTTCCAATATCACGCATCACAGCTTAGCAAATAATTGATCTATTGCAGAGGAAGTTCGGTAATTTCGAGAGTTAGTTCACCTCGTTTATATGATTTAACGCCATTAGATTTCATTTTGTGGATAACGTAAAGTCTTTTGTTTATCATCTTCAAAACTAAGGATACTTTTACCACACCCTGTTTAAGCTACCTTAGATATGACTGAAATCTTACAGTCATTTTACAGTCTTTTATGAATGCTATATTCTTGATAATAAAAGCCAAAAAATCACTAAAAAATGACATAAAACTTTTTTAATTGTGCAAAACAGAATTTAAAGAAAAGTTCTACTTCAAATTTTGAAGTATAGTTACATTATCAAAACTGCTAAATCTAAACTTAAACGTTATCTACATCATTGTTGAAACGAAATAAATTTTAAATCGATAAAAAATCAAGATCAAGGTCATGTTTTAATCTCAAAAATACGGATTAAGAGGATTAAGATTTGGTTTTATCATTTGCAATATCATTTTTTATTTTAACTTTTAAACTTCTGATTTATTATATTTTTATGTTTATGATGTGTTTGTACACGATAATATAATTAATATAATTTGCGAACAATAGTCGCGATGAGCGTACAAATAATATATACCAATTCTAGAAATTCAAACGACGATCTAATTTGGCCATTAATACGTAAATAGCCATAAATCAAAAAAGGGTGATAATAGCAAAACCATAAATTAATAAATTAACTCAGATTAATTTGTCGTTATAAAAACATTATTTTTTTGAAATCGTTAGTATGAAAATAAAAATGTTCAAGTTAACTATCGTTACTTTGTTCCTTTTATTGGGAATTACATTTGGCGATGAAAATGTGAAGTTTATTTATTATTCCCGATCGGGAGCAGCGTCCGTACAACTTCAAACCATCGATATTAACACCGCTGATATCGACGCTGGAAAAATGTAAAAATTATTTGTCATGGTGCTTTCACAGACAGTAATGCAGATTGGTATAATCCGATGATCAATGCTTATTTGGATAAAGGATATCAAGTTATTGCTATTGATTGGGGGAAATATGCTAAAAATATATTACAATTCGTTAGTAAATCTGATCATGTAGGAAACTTAGTTGGTGAAATGATTGTAAATATACACAAGACTAAAGGAGTTGACTTGGGTAACGTTCATTTGATTGGTCATTCTATGGGGGCTCACGTTTCCGGATATGCAGGTATGTTTATAAAATGTCGAAAATGCGTTTAAAATAATTTCTCTTTATTTTAGCACGTTTTGTTTTTAGCCAAACTTCCTCACGTGTTGGCAGAATAACCTCTTTAGATGGTGCTTCAAAAACTGTTATTCTTGGAAAAACCGCTTTATCTCCATCAGATGCGGACTTTGTCGATTCTATCCATACAAGTTTTACCGATAAATACGGCTCGGTTTCTTTCTTCGTAAACGGTGCTGTAGATCAACCCGGATGCGGTTCTTTAGAAAGTATAAATTATACAACTAAAATCTTTAGTATCTCATTAATTTAATTAATTTTTTTAAAGTTGATTGTGGTCATAATAGAGCTCCAACTTACTACGTTGAAAGTATAAACAGCAACGGATTCGTAGCTGCAAAATGCGAAAATTGGTCGACTTTTACATCCGGATCNGTGGTGTATATTTCCGCCGGAAATGGAGTTCGCTATTGTGCCATATTGGAAGATTTTAGCCAGAATTGGAGAGACTTGACATCAGCGATATGTGCTTCCAATATCACGCATCACAGCTTAGCAAATAATTGATCTATTGCAGAGGAAGTTCGGTAATTTCGAGAGTTAGTTCACCTCGTTTATATGATTTAACGCCATTAGATTTCATTTTGTGGATAACGTAAAGTCTTTTGTTTATCATCTTCAAAACTAAGGATACTTTTACCACACCCTGTTTAAGCTACCTTAGATATGACTGAAATCTTACAGTCATTTTACAGTCTTTTATGAATGCTATATTCTTGATAATAAAAGCCAAAAAATCACTAAAAAATGACATAAAACTTTTTTAATTGTGCAAAACAGAATTTAAAGAAAAGTTCTACTTCAAATTTTGAAGTATAGTTACATTATCAAAACTGCTAAATCTACACTTAAACGTTATCTACATCATTGTTGAAACGAAATAAATTTTAAATCGATAAAAAATCAAGATCAAGGTCATGTTTTAATCTCAAAAATACGGATTAAGAGGATTAAGATTTGGTTTTATCATTTGCAATATCATTTTTTATTTTAACTTTTAAACTTCTGATTTATTATATTTTTATGTTTATGATGTGTTTGTACACGATAATATAATTAATATAATTTGCGAACAATAGTCGCGATGAGCGGACAAATAATATATACCAATTCTAGAAATTCAAACGACGATCTAATTTGGCCATTAATACGTAAATAGCCATAAATCAAAAAAGGGTGATAATAGCAAAACCATAAATTAATAAATTAACTCAGATTAATTTGTCGTTATAAAAACATTATTTTTTTGAAATCGTTAGTATGAAAATAAAAATGTTCAAGTTAACTATCGTTACATTGTTCCTTTTATTGGGAATTACATTTGGCGATGAAAATGTGAAGTTTATTTATTATTCCCGATCGGGAGCAGCGTCCGTACAACTTCAAACCATCGATATTAACACCGCTGATATCGACGCTGGAAAAAATGTAAAAATTATTTGTCATGGTGCTTTTACAGACAGTAATGCAGATTGGTATAATCCGATGATCAATGCTTATTTGGATAAAGGATATCAAGTTATTGCCATTGATTGGGGGAAATATGCTAAAAATATATTGCAATTCGTTAGTAAATCTGATCATGTAGGAAACTTAGTTGGTGAAATGATTGTAAATATACACAAGACTAAAGGAGTTGACTTGAGTAACGTTCATTTGATTGGTCATTCTATGGGGGCTCATGTTTCCGGATATGCAGGTATGTTAATAAAATGTCGAAAATGCGTTTAAAATAATTTCTCTTTATTTTAGCACGTTTTGTTTTTAGCCAAACTTCCTCACGTGTTGGCAGAATAACCTCTTTAGATGGTGCTTCAAAAACTGTTATTCTTGGAAAAACCGCTTTATCTCCATCAGATGCGGACTTTGTCGATTCTATCCATACAAGTTTTACCGATAAATACGGCTCGGTTTCTTTCTTCGTAAACGGTGCTGTAGATCAACCCGGATGCGGTTCTTTAGAAAGTATAAATTATACAACTAAAATCTTTAGCATCTCATTAATTTAATTAATTTTTTTAAAGTTGATTGTGGTCATAATAGAGCTCCAACTTACTACGTTGAAAGTATAAACAGCAACGGATTCGTAGCTGCAAAATGCGAAAATTGGTCGACTTTTACATCCGGATCTTGCGATGGAAACGAAAAAGTTATTATGGGGGCTTATACTCCTTCCTCATCTTCTGGGGATTATTATTTACGTACCAACAGCCAGTCTCCATTTGCTTTGGGTTAAAAAAATATTCTTTTTAAAATAACAACATGGTATATAAATATGTAGATTTATTTAAAAACAAACTAAATATAATAACAAATACAAAAATAATAGTCTGCTTGTTTTTGTTTTGATTAATTTGTATAAATTTTATGTATAAACGTTGTAATGCCGTAAAATCTCCAGTAAAATTGGTTAGAAAATTGCTTAAATCTCATGAATGGAAGCACACACGCAAATTCTCTCAAGGGAAACGTAACAATTTCGACTCTCTGATGTATATTAACTTACGTAAAAGATAATACACGATAAAATCTTTATGAACACTTTTAAAATTATCTTTTTATGAGTATTTAACATGATAAATCAAAATTGTAATCTATTAATTTTAGGTAGTAGTAAAATTCGAGAAAGAAAAGTGGATTAAATACGTTCAAAATTGTATAGATGGATTATATACATTAAGAGGGATTAAATTAATTCTGGTTCAATGAGAATTTATATATTTATTCATTTATATATTATTAAATCAATTTGGCAATATTAATACACAAAACATGGAGTGTTATTGATATTAAGTTGTTATTTCCATATCATTTAATCTATATAATCCATCTATACAATTTTGAACGTATTTAATTATTTAAAAACAATAAGTTGTTTTCAACTGCTTAATGCTACCTTTAATTATAATTCCATACAAAATTTATCAGGACTTTTTGGTAGGATTCAAAAACAACTCCTTCCCTAAAACAGATATAATCACATAATATCATATAGAATTATATAGAATTATTTGCAAATTTGGTATTTCATCCGAAATTGTAGTTGATAACAAATTCAATGCTAAATTTATAACAGTTGAACATCATAGGTCGAGTGAACCTAATGTTCATCGAATAGCAATTAATGTAGCTAAGAATAGAACTCGACGTTGCTCAGTGAAGCTAAACATAGGTGATGTTGCAGGGTCATCGTAAGGAAGGTGCATTATGGGAAAAGCTTTTTTTGGGAAAAGGTTACAAATCCCATAAATGGATAAAATGGACGCTTTATCTTACAAGGCTATGGCTAGAAACAAGTTCATTGTGATTTCCCAACCTTTCTACCTTCTACTA